TGTCCTGGAAGTAGCTCTGTTGACCAGGTTGGCCTCTGCCTCCCGAGTGCTAGGATTAAAAGCATGTGGCAAAACTGCCCAGCTGTGAGTGCAGAAGTTTTAAGGTTAATTGTACTGTCTTCTTTGAAGTATTGTGACAATTCATCCAGAAAAGTTAACATAAAAAAGGTAAGATTCTAAAGATACAATTAAAAATATCTTGACACCAGCTGTCAGAAAGCCTGAACAGCTGTTAAGATTTTTGTGTTTATTAAAGCATGTCTGTACCAGGGGGTCAGGATCTAAGCAAGGTCCTCCATGTACCACATCCTAAAATAAGCCCTAGATGATAACCACTGACTCAGAACCCCAAGGCTTTGTTGTTGCTGTTTCTGTGAATAAGCCGTTAAAACAAACAATATTTATCCTACCACTGCTTTTCAGAGGGGAAATTCGTTGTCTCTGCTTCTCAGTCTGTATTGATGAAGAGCTAGATATGTTTTCAAATTCACAAGGCATTGCTTTTGTGAAGGTGCAGGTGTCTTGTGAACAGACCTATTTTGTTTTTAAATGCTTGTTATAGTTCACACAGTAGCTGTAAAGATAGGCTAGCAAAAACCACACATACGAAAAGGAGAGAAAAGATGGGAGAATCTGAAAACACATCTTCCCCATATCAAACTTACTTTCTTTACTCAGCCTCTCATTCAGTAGACACAAAGGGCTTTTCACTTTATAAAAGCATTATATAAAATAACTTTATTATTTTCATGTAGGAATATGTGTGGGGGGGATGTGAAAGTGTGTGAGTGAGTATGTGAGTGTGTATGTGTGTGTGTGTGTTTGTGTGTATGTGAGTTAGTGAGTGTGTGTGTGTATATATGTGTGTGTGTGTGTGTGTGTGTGTGTGAAAGTATGTATGTGAATTTTGAGAGTGTGTGTGAGTATGTATGTGAGTGAGTGTGTCTGTGTGGAATGTGTGTGAGTGTGTGGAGTATCTGAGTGTGTATGGAGTATGGAGTAAGTTAGAGAGTATGTGTGAGTGAGTGCATGTTTGGAGTATCAGAGAGAGAGAGCGCACTTTTGGAGGCTAAAAGCTTCAGACACCCTCAAGTGGAAGTTATAGGGGTCTGTTGTGAGCCCTCTGACTTTGGTTCCCCTGCCACGCAGTAACAATATGAGTTCTGAATCACCAAGTCATCTCTCTAGCCCTTCATTGAATGCTTTTTAATGTAACCAATTTTCCATGGAAAGATAGTAACGGCTCTGAAATCAGACTGATTACATTTTGCTTTGATAAAGCTGTACCAATAAAATCATACCTGATGAATGTAGTGCTGGACCTAGAGTTTGAAATGCAAGTCTTGTGATTAGACTGTCCCTTGTGATCCAAACAGCAGGGTTTAGGGGAGCTTTGCTATTTGGAGCACAAGGAACGGTCTAATCACAAGGTTTGCACACAAATATTGCTATTCTGAGTGTAAATCAAAGGCAGGGGGACCCTTCCCCTTGTCACACAATTATCACATCCCCATCTGTCCTGCACCCTCCCCCCATAAGTCACAGATTGACAAGATATTATCCCTCAAAGTAAAACGGTACCACCCAATAACCTTATCAAGGATTATGTGAGCACTTGGCCATATGAAACTATAACAGAAAAATTGGGTCTGAGATCTTATTTAATATGACAGATGGCAACACTGTCACCTGGATCTCATAAAGAGGATTCCAATTAATACAGCAATGGGATTGGATCTATTGCCTATCTGATCATCCTGTATATTGTCCCTTAAGAAAAATTAGTTGGAATCTTTCAACTGGTCCTGGGACTTTAGCTCATCTCAGTTGCTACTGTGGTGACTCAACCATCTTTAGCTGTCACTGTCCACCCACTGAAACATGACTTCAGCCATTGACCTATATGAACACACTCACCTCATGGTCTTCCACCTTACCTCTGCAACTCAGCTCAGTCCCAGCTCTGTGGCTTGGACTAACTTTGGCCTAACTTCCAAGAAGACTACAAGGTATCAGCTCCCTGCTTCAGCTTCTACCTCTTGCAAGGCCCCTGCAGATTCTTTTAATTCTGCTGCAGCATTTTTACCACTTTTCTATCAAGTTTGAAACCTACATTATTTATGCTTATGTGCATGATCTGTAACATGAGTAAATATTACTAAGATTGGAATAAAAGAACCCATGTTCCCCATCTAGATACCAAGGGAAATTGAGATGGCTTGGCAAATCGCACCTAACAAAATTAACAGGGCTTGTAAATTTATTAGTATTCAATGAGCTCTAACATTGCAGAGATACACTGATATGTTCATCCTTATAACACACTTACAACAACAAGGCACATGATCTTATGTAATTTTGAATCTCTACTTCGTACTCTGAATTGTTTTCCTTATGAACACTAATATGTCCTGAGCCATGACTTTCCGAAAAGAAAACATAATTGATTACAGTTATAAATAAATGAGCCCCTAACACCACAGAATTTGTCAAGCCCGACTTTCATAGAGTGGCAAATAATGTACAGTCCTGTGTTCCCCATTGCCAGTGGTCCTGTAGATCTCTCTCTTTGTTTGGTGGGAGGAGAAGAAATGAGCCTGCATGGTTTTCCCAACATTTCAAACTTTTGTAACTTTTATCTGGTATTTTTATGTCCTATGAAGGAAATTCCATTTGGTAGATGTTCCTGAACTTTATGCACAGATATAACCAAGTACATACCTGCTTAGTGGCTGGATACACTTACCTGGCAATCCAACATGTGTGTGTGTGTGTGTGTGTGTGTGTGTGTGTGTGTGTGTGTGTGTGTGTGTATTCTTTGTAACTCACTCTGTGGTAGATAAAAATAATAAAAATAATAATGCATTTGTTAACTTCTTCCAAATCATAAACCAGAGGAGGACTTAAAATAAATAATTGCAGGATTCAGCTGGCTATTCAGTTCTTACAATTCTGGGAGTGGAAAGATTCTGTGGAAGCAACTAAAGAACTTATAACTCATTACTATGTTTTAACATGATATGATGTTAGTCTTTACCCATTTGAAGAATTTTAAGCTCAAACAAAATACAGAGAATAATCACACAATATCAATATCTTCTATGAGTGAATTTAAAAGAAATATTGAAGCTCAACATTAGTTGTGGATACTTTAAAGCTGACTTTAGTCAAAAATTTTATTTCATCTCCCTGTTTTCTGAAGAGGTTTCAACCAAACCTTATTTGACTTCTTTAACTTTTTATTAAAGGGAAACTTTTAGTAATACAAAACTCAAGACAGGCTTATCATTGAAGTTTTATAGACAGCCTCTCTAGAAAAGGTTATCCACCTACACTCAATATACTACCAGGTGGATAATAAAATGAGTTTATGGTGTGCTTTGGTAGATGTAGGCTTGCTGTATTTTGCTTTTATCTGTTTTTTTTTTTTTTTAACATCTGTCCTCTATTCCTTGACACACACACACACACACACACACACACACACACACGGTTGGGGGAAGCAAAAACTCAGTTTGTTGTGTTTATTTGAACTTTGTTGGCCTGGTTCTTCTTGAAGAATATTTCAAGGGGGGAATTCAAGCTAGAAAAAGGAAATTTTATTCATTTGGTACAAGTTGATTTTATACATGGGTGCTGGTCTTTCTCATACATATGGCTTCACTTTCTGGTGTTGAGCCTCTCTCACTTTTTGCCAAACTCTACCAGATATATTTATCACTAGGGATATCTCCAGAGTGTTTTCTTCACGTTATGGTACCTGGCTGAGGATGGGACAACAGCCTATTGGGTGTGGGATCTGTGCATGGGGTGTTGGTATAGTCTGCTCTCAAACTGAGGTGGTAGGAAAGTGAGGGACACCGTATGCCCTTGTCTTCTGTCTGCAAGAATACTCTGTGAGTCAAGAAAACACCTCACTGCATTTTGTTTTCCTAATGCTTCTTGGCTTCTCACCAGCAGGTTTTTCACAGTCTGTTGCTTGCCTCTCAGATTAGAAGAATGCTGGCATATTTTAACAGTTTCCTAGGATTCAAACAGCCTTTAATTAACAGAAAATTGATGTTTTGGAATGTTATCAAAATATGGGAGACAGAACACCGAAGCTATGCTTCCATCCTTTCAGCTTCTCAATGCAGATAATCTGAACGCAGGGGCCAGAACTGCTATGCTCCTTGCAAGCAGCTGCCTGCCTACCGGTGTGCAGGGGGGGGGGGGGGATCTATGTTGGTGTAATATTCTCATTGCCTGCTCATTGGTGCCGGTCTAAATTCCTCCCACTCATGAGTGGGGAGGAGACAGGCAGTTGTTGAATTGTCAAAGCTCCAGGGTGCTGAACAGCTCAGGGTTGTTGGGCTTGTAGTGCTGGCTTTGCTGGCATTTTTAATCCTCTTGTTGCCGGGGCAGTGCAGTATGGCTGCCTGTGCCCGTGGTTCAGCTTCTTTTCTGTTCCAGATTCGGGTCTTTATCCTGCCAGAGTTTGAGTTGGTGAACAGAGCAGTTCTGCAAAATAGCCAGTAAGACTTGTAGCATATTCTGAGCAGGTTAGTTTTCATAGAGGAATGGGAAAGTAATGTGGGATTGCAGGGGTTTTCCCTTGGACTCTGTGCCGAGCACCGGAGTTCCAGGCAATAAAACAAAAGCAAGTTGTGAAGTATGAAATATTGACTGATCCTTACATAATCATGTAGTTATTATCCCAGGGAAAGGTGCTGTTCACTTACCTCTGGCAGTCCAATGGCAAAGCTATCGAACCAATGGCCAAATCTTAGCTGATAGGAGTAGACTGTGTTTCTTACTTTTTCCGGTGACCTAGAAAGCTGGTTCTTTCCTTCTTTCCTTCCTTCCTTCCTTCCTTCCTTCCTTCCTTCCTTCCTTCCTTCCTTCCTTCCCTCCCTCCCTCCTTCCCTCCCTTCCTTTCATTTGTTTGCCCCAAAGGTCATGATGTTTTTCTCTTCTGTGCCTGGTGTCCCTGAGCATCCCCTTTGCTCTTGTCTCTACAGGTGGTACATGCCAGAGTCCTGCTCTCCCAGCCCTGGTCCGGCCACCAGCCCCTCCTTTGCAGCCATCATTGGATATTAAGCCCTTTCTCCCCTTTCCTCTTGACACTGCAGCGGCAGTCAACCTGTTTCCCAATTTTAATGCGGTGAGTAGCAGATCCAAATTTGCATGTGTCCATGATAAGCTTAAAGATCTTGGGTGTTTCTTCAACAGCTTCTGTCTTGAGGTACTGTTTATCCCACAGTGTTTCTGTGTGCCATGGTGAAGTTGGGTGTCCATCTAGAAAAATAATGTTCAATGAACCAGGCCCTTGGGGTGGAAGGTGGAAAGAGAATTCATTGGTTAATATGAGTTGATGTAATCTGAGAATCTCTTATGTAAAACAGACAACTTTGCTAAATTTGGAACTTTCCAAACTGAAATTGAACAACTTTATTGTACAGTGTAAAAGTTGAAGTTCAGTATAACTTTTTTAACATGTGAGTCTTCTGAGTTGCTTCAAATCTCTGATTCTTTTCCTCTGCAATAAATAGGACTATGAAAGTAGCCAGAACTCAAGCTGATATCCCAAAGTTGCTGGTTTTCCATGTCTCTCTAACTTCTGCTCAATGAAATGGTTTTGTGTGTAGGGGCCTATGTGTGTCTGTGGTGTGTGAGCAAAAACCTGGGATGTTATAATACAGAGGCTACTGTTGTAGAGGGGTCAGCTGTGATTCATACCTGACCTAGTACTTTCCCTCTGATGGGAAGCTCCTAGCTTGGGTGGGACAGTAGGAATATTTTCTAAATTACAACATTATATCCTTTCTATCACCTTCACTCAACTGCAACACACTGAGATCCCCATCTAAAAGCAGAGACCTCTTTCTGCCTAAACTCAGGAACCCCCACCTCTGAAGTCTGACAAATCAAGGGATGTCCTTGGCTCTATGTGTTGCTGTTGGATTTCCTAACCCAGCTGAGATGAGTGGCTAAATGTTACTAAATGTTATTTCATCTAAACGACCAAAATAAATGCAGTTTGATAGATTAAAAAATGCAATACATTTAATTTACATGGCTAAAACCCACTTAGGGCGGCTCTCTAACCTACAATGCCTTCCATTCCCAGTTACAGATGAGTCAGGTCAAATGTTTCCTAAGTTACATTATTTCTTTGGACTTCATTGGAAGGCTTCTCAGCACAAACTCAAATATTTTCTTGTCTCCATTTTCATTTTTTTAAGATGTCTGTTTACCTTGCCATTTATCATACAATGTTTTGTGTGTGTTTGCATACCATGAGAATCTTCTTGGGATGGAAATTGAAGTGAACTGGGAATAGTTAGAAACAAGTAAGTTACTTGTTTTCTGATAATCGCCTGCTTTGGCTTTCAGCAGTTGCTGCAATGAGGAGCAGGTCTTATCAGTGACAGGATGTGTCAACACAGCCAAGAAAAGAGGATTAAGATGAGAGGTCACCCAGTGCCCAGTGAGCTCAATAATACTGTTTTCTAGTTGCAGCAACTTATCCAGAGACGAACTTAACAAAAAGTGTAATGATCTGCCACAGTGAAACCCTTCAAGAATGTAGAATTCAGGATGGCTTATTTCCTTAATAGTGTTTTATTACAGGGACTTGGAACATGCTACTATTTAAATGACAATGATATGCTAGTTAATAGTATTAGACAAAGGCATAACAAATGATCAATTTGTATTTAGTTAGAGAAGAGGAATTGTCCGTAAGATCCTTATTTTGAGATGGATTGGGTAAGCTAGACATGATAGTGTATGCTTGTCATCCCAGCCTTCAGGAGGCTGAGACAGGAATAGTTCAAGTTTAAGGTCAGTCTGATCTCATATTGAGAAATTTTGTCTCAAAAGGGGGGTGGGGAAGAAGGAAGGAAGGAAGGAAGAAAGAAAGGAAGAAAGAAAAAGTAAAGAAAGGGACAGAGAAAGGAAGATTGATTTTACTAGAAGGCATTTAATATAGAGATGAGACTAAGAGACAGTTTAGGCCACTGTTTGGCCCTAAGTGTATTAATTTTATCACCCCTCCCAAAGACTCTGGGAGCATTATAAAAAGAGAGGATAAAATGAAGAGATGGAAGATGGATACATGTGTTACAAAATGATGTCTTCTGAATATAACATGGCTGTTCCATTAATGAAGTCACTGCAGTGATGGATTCAAGAACTCTCTGCACTTATGAATAGTTCCATAAGACCTTCACATGACAGGAGCTTTAATATGCCTTCATGGACATGAAGAACTTTTGGCAGTGAATAGTTGCTGGGGACATGGTGTCATGTGATATTTCTCTGTTGCAGAGTAGGGACCCATAGATTACTGGACATGACCAAAGTCTGAATTGAGAGTCTTCTTTAGACTGGCTAGAGAGAAATTCTTCTCATAGAGCAGCCTTTCCTGGAATGCATTTTAGAGGTAGCTTTTCAAGGCAAAGAATAGAGAAAAGCTGTATCCTAGTTGGCAGTTACAAGGGAAAGTAAGGCAATCAAGGAAGCAAACAGTTTAACAGAAGCCAAAAACATGCAGTTATCTGGGGCATTGGGAATCTTGAGTTTCTAGAACATGGTTGGGTGCTATCCTATATGGCTTCACATCAGTGATAGAAAAGAAGGGTTAAACCAAAAATGAATCTGGCTGAGACAAGATGGAGAAAACTTGCTCTGTCATGCTTCATTGGTGTAGCCACAGAAAAGCTGTTCCTGCTCTAGTAAGGAACTTCCTTTCTGTGCTTATACGGATAATTAAAGATACACACTAAAAAGATATCAAAGTAGAGTGGGACTTGTTGGAAAGAAAATTTCATCAGGAGAAGGAAGTAGGTAAGAGAAAGAAATAGGAGAGGAAGATGAATAAAAATATATATGTATGATACTATCTGAAATTTAAAAAGGAAGGAAGCAATAGAGAGAGGAAACAAGAGATAGGGAAGAAAGGGGGAAGAATGGATTCAGGTAGAAATACAGCAGCATAAAAAATACATTTCTAGAACAATGGTTTCTTACCTTGCCTTTTAAGAAGACCGGAAGAAAACTCACTGAACACTGAAATTCTTTCCTCTTAAATGAAGTCACTGTAGACTTCCAGCTCCTTTCCCAGATCTCTTTGTCTATCTTTAAGCTAAGTGGCTCCCACCAGCACCTGGGCTATAATTCATCCAGGTGCTTTACCTGGCTTGGGAGATCACTTGGCAACCTAGCGTGCCAGTCCCAAGTCAGCTCTGCAGTTGTTTAGGCAATACTTTTGGGAGATTATTCAAGCTTAATTTAAAACTTTCAATATGCCTCTTGGGAAACATTATAAACAAAGTGGTTATCTTGATTGACAGTAATGATTGTTTGTCAGGAGGGAAAAAATAATCTGCTCTGCTCTTCAACTGAGCACATCTTCACCTTCTTTGCTGCTGTTTCCTCATCTTAAGGATGAAGTGGACAGCTGGGTAGTGGTGGTGCACACCCTTAATTGCAGAACTCCAGAGACAGAGGCAAGTACATCTCATTGAGTTCGAGGCCAGCCTGGTCTACAGAGTTCTGGACAGTCAGGAATACATAAAGAAACCCTGTCTTGAACTCACCTCAAAAAATAAAAAAAGGAGAAAAGAAGAAAGTAGACAAGTGAAACCTCTTCCTTTGGAAGTTAGGTCATTCAAAGTTGATTGTATTCCTCCTTGTGTGCAAAGATTGCCTGAGTGACTGAGGCCGGACTCTACAGCAATACTAAGTTCAAATGCTAGGAATGTTTTATATCACACATATGACCTTGGGAAATTTACACATTTCTTGTGTACCCCAGTATCATCATTCACGAAATAAGACTAGTAGTAAGACATATTCATATGTGTGCTGAATATGTGAGTCAAACTGTTTAAAATAGCACGTCATCATATGGGCAGGCTATTGATTGATGCAGTTAGGTTCTCCTAAGGAGTTTCAAAACTCTTCTGAGTTTGAACATGGCAATTTAATGGTAAATCGGTTGCAAGAGGCTGACATGAATGTTTGCTGCTGGTATAGCTGTTTGTTCATTAGGACCTTGAGGCCCACTGCTCCTATGCTTGTTGTCTATTCTCTGGTTGTTCTAGCGTTGGTCAAGTTGCAGCTAGTTAAAGTTTACGCCTTTCCTGCTTTCAAACAGGGAGAATGTTTGGAAAGTCCACATGCATGGGCTTTAGACTCAAAATCAAGACACAGAACATCTTTGTAAGCTTCATTGTGGGTTCTTGATTTTATAGCCATTGGAAACTTAATTCAGGGTATCTCAAATTTAGTTTTACTACTATTTCCAATTTTGTGTTCAGAAGATCTCATTCCATCAGCCTGAAGATAAATCCCATTGAATTTCTTTTTCTACATTTATTTAATTTTATGTATATGAGTATTTGCTTCCATATATGCATGTGAGCCATTTGCATGCCTGGTACCAAAAAAAAAAATCAGCAGAAAGTGTTATATCTCCATGAAGTACAGTTGAAGATGGTTGTGAGGCACCATGTGGGTTCTGTACATCAAACCCAGGTGCCCTAAAAGAGTAACAACTGCTCTTAACCATCTAACCATCTCTCCAGCCCCTCCAAGCTAACTTCATAATAGAGTGTGTTAAGGTTTGAGAAACTAGCCGTTCTATCTGACCTAAGTTGGTGGAGGGGCATTACTGGTTGAATTATTTGTGTGCATAGGCATTTGTGAGTTGCTTTTAGTTAGATTAACCATTTAGGTAACAAGCTTTTTATGTATTATACTTAGCACCTGCAAACCTCATAAGACTGTCGGTGGTCCTATCATTGTAGACCCATCACGGAACTATTATTTCTTTGAAAAAAAAAAAAAAGTACTCCTTAGTCATTCTGCCACCAACTTCCACGTGTCTATGAATTTAAACAATTTACATGATGATTAGTGATTATCTATTTTATTTTTCCCTTGACATTACAAATAGGACATCTCCTGCTTATTTGAGGTAAGGTATGCCATAAAGTTGAAGGAAATTTTACAAACAATTCTTTAAAAGCAAGATATACCTAAAAAAAATGTAGCTGGCATCTCTGCCTATTACCCTCCTATAAGAACATTAGCCATTGGTGTTCAAATATGAGTCCAAACAAATATCAAATGAGTCTGTAAAGATAAGCACAGTGA